GTTTGGAGTCACAGCCATGGAGCTGAACAGTTAAGGGTGGAGACCATGCCAGATCCTTCTGAGCTGTTGACAAGGCAGCCTTTCATCTTGCTCACTTGTATCTTATGACGGCATCAATCACAGGCTGGCTGCTCTGAGGCAGATTGGGTCAGTGCCACCGGTAGTTTGGTGTTGGATTTCTGTTGACGGATGCCAGTAGTTTGGCCTCAGAGCTGCACACTGGATATACATCACGGCATATGCAGCGCTAGCCTGCCTGCAGTCATGAGCCTTTTGCACGTTATTTGAGGCAACTCCTCACACAGAACAAAACCATTACTGCTCCCTCAACACTCCTAATATACTGAATGAAGAATAGTATGTGTTTAACTTGCACAAGTTGAGAAATTTTAAGGAACCCTGTAAGGGTGAGGAAATGACCAATTGTTCAATAATGAATGGGAGGATTTGTGATGTTCAGAATGGAAAAGTAATTTCTGTTCATGCCATTTTTGTTTATCTTTATATGTTGCAAAATAGAGCTTGAAACCATCGATTTTATTATAATTATTCATATTCATATTATTCATATTATTATTTAACAGATGGTAAGTGAAAGGAGGTACCCAATCTTCACTTCTATTTATTTATGAGGTTGTAACTCTTACAGAAAACGTGGATATGTCTGAATACAACCCTTATTTGAGTTTTTTGTTATTTTCTAGCAAAAAGCATTGAATAAACATTAAAATAATTTTAAGTAAATAAAGTATAAATACGCCTGAATGAGAATCACTGCGCAGAGTATAGCCTATTTACAGACCAAATGATTTGTAGCTATTGGTAAAACACTGTTTCCCCATGAAAGAATTGTTTATTTATTTATTTTGTATTTATTTAAATTTGGTAACAGGGCTGAATGGTGGATGCTTTTACCAGTACATTTTGACAAATTAAGAAAATAGATTATGGTTATTTAGCAGTATTAAGTTACATGACATGAAAATATTACACTATTTTTTTTATTTATTTTATTTTTGGTCATTTGGTCTAACCCAAACTGAATGATAGTATAATTCATCCTAAAACTAAAACCCTTTTACTTGCAACCCTGTTACCCATTTTGTTTTATATATGTATGTATAGTAATTTTTCTTTTTTGATGTTTAATGTTGTTTAATGTAATGGTGTTTAGAAAGTACACAGGATTTTTAATTGTTTTTTGTATTCAGACAATTTTTGGTAACAGGGATGAAAAATAGTGAATGTATGAATAAAAACATGAATGAATGAATGAAAAAACAAACAAATAAATACTTTTGCCATAAAATAATAATAGTCTGTATAGGGCTGGGTGATTTGGCAAAAAATTTAAATCTCGATTTTTTTCAGAACGTTTGACTGATTCTCAGTTTTTTACGATTTTTAACTAGTCAACTTAAAAATGTAACTACAACATGATTCAAATTATCTTTTTCTTTATTAACCCTCTATTTAAAGAAAATTCTATTCCAAGTGCAACACACATGAAGTTGTCAACTGGATGTAAATGTTAAACAAATCACTT